TGAATAAATAAAAAAGAACCAAGGAAGAGAGGAAGCAGAAGGCGAAGGAAGAGAAGATGGGAAGAAAAAAAGACGAAGGAAGAGCAAGGAAAGAAAATTACAGAGGAGGAGGAGGAGGAAAAGAAAAAGAAGGGAAGGATAAGAAAAAAAAAACTGAGGAGGAGGAAGAAGAGAAGAACAAGATATCAAAAAAGGATAAGATGAAGAAATAAGAAGATAAATAAAAAAACGAAGGAAATTTTGCACTCAAAGACATTAAGACCCCCCCCCCCCTCCCTCCCGAGGTCAGGCCACAGGCGACGACTCCCCCAGCCGGGCGCTTGTTAACGAGGCAAGCGTGGGGTCGTCGCGTCTTATCAACAGCCATTGGGTCGTTAAAGAAAGTAGTTCCACGGAGGAGAAATTTCCACTATTGTCTCGGGTCCTTTTTCCTTCTCTCTGTGTGTTCTTCTCCGTTTCTTCTGTTCGTTCTCTTTTGTCTCGTCTGTTCCTCTTTTCGTTGCTTCGTTCTCCGTCCGTTGTCTTTCCTCCTCTGTTCGTTATTTTTGTTCATTGGTTAAGCGTTTCTTTTTGTTGTCTCTTCTCTTCTCTCTACGTTGTTCTCTGTTCTCTGTTAATTGCCCTTCTCTTCTCTGTTCCCTGCCCTTTGCCCTTTTCTCTGTTGTTTGTCTGTTCTCCATTCATGCCTTTCTCTTCTTTTAGTTGTGTCTATATGTTTATCTATTTGTCTGTCTTTCTATCTCTGTCTACCTCTGTCTGTGTATCTATCTAGTTATCTATCTATCTATCTATCTATATAAGAATATGTATATATATGAATATGTATATATATATATATATATATATATATATATATATATATATATATACACACATATACATATATATGCACACACACACACACACACACACACACACACATACACACACACACACACACACACACACACACACACACACACACACACACACACACACACACACACACACACACACACACACACACACACACACACACGCATATATATATATATATATATATATATATATATATATATATATATATATATATATATATATATTTATATATATGTATATATGTATATATATATATATATATATATATATATATATATATATATATATATATATACATATACATATATATACACATAAATGTCAGAGTGAGTTCTGTAATCCAGTCTTATGAATATGACAATAAATCATTACAAGCTACTTTTTGCTACGAGTATGTCGGACCAGCGTAACAAGTGTTGTAAGATTCTGAACCAGAAGTGGATTATAGCGAGGCAAGAAAGAATACTTTGTTAATATGGATTGACGTATGCAAATCAGCTTGGAGAAAATGATCCCTTTTATACTTACTCATGAATGTCAACGCTGTTACGGGAATGGTAATGTAGGTGATGACGATGAATATGATGATGATGCTGATGGTAAAAGTGATGATGACATATTGCAACAGAAAATGATGATGTTTATGATACGTATAACTAGTATTATATATATATATTTTTTTAAGAAAGTTGCTATTATTACTATTATTATCCTTGCCATTGCTTTTGTCTTTATTATTACTACTACTACTCTGATAGTTTTATCATTGTCATTGTCATTATCATTATTATTGCTTTTTATTATTATTGTAGTTGCTGCTTGTTGCTGTTGCTTTTTATTGCTATTATTATTGTTATTACCATCATTATTATCTTTATCATTATTATTATCATCATCATTATTATTATTATTATTATTATTATTATTATTATCATTATTATTATTATTATTATTATTATCATTATTATCATTATTATCATCATCATTACTATCATTAGTATTATTATCCCTTTTCATTATCATTATTATTATTATTATTATTATTATTATTATTATTATTATTATTATCATCATTATCATCATTATTACTATTATTATTATTATCTATTTATTATCATTATTTATTGTTATTGTTATTATTATCATTATTGTTATTATTATTATCGATATTATCATTATCTTTATTATCAATATTATTATTATTATTATTATTATTATCATTATCATTATCATTATCATTATTATTACTATTACAACTGCTACTACTATTGTTGATATCATTATCATTGTTATTATCATCATTATCAATAGATTATTATTATCATTCGCATTGTTAGCATTGTTTTGCTTCTTTTTTCATTGCTATTATCATCAGTAGGATCATCTTTAATTTCACCTTGATTTTTTTAACACCATGCTCACTGTTCTTATTAACATCATTGCTATTATTATTTTTTCATCATCATCCCATTTAATAGATCAAACATATCAAGATGAGATATACTAATAGTATATATGTAAATAAAAAAAAGAAAACAAAAAGGGAATAACAGAATAAGTAATCAAAAATAAAATGAGATAAGTAAAACATACTAATAAGTTATATGTAAATGGTAATTAATTCAGAAATAATACTCATGCAACATATCACCCGCATTTATTGGAAAAAAAAAACTCTAAGGATATCAGATACAAAACTGTGAAGGACTTCTACCTGTATATACATTCATAATTATACATCTCGTGTGTCTGACTAAAACCTCTGCACTTGACACCTTTGTACATGACATGGAACGTCCCTGGTGGCAGCAGGACTCTACGGTAGGCCTTCGGTGTTCTAGGATACAGCATCTTAAGCGTACAGTATTCTGAGGATAAATTAATTCAGGCATACAGTATTTCTGGGATATTGTATTTCAGGATACAGTACCTCTGACATATAGCATTTCCAGGAAATTGTGTTTTGATTACAATATTCCGAGGATACAGTGTTTTTGGAATACAGTACATGCAGGATACAATATTTTAGGGTACAGTATTGCGAAGGATAAATCTTATCAGGTAAACAGTATTTTCGGATACATTATCCCGATAATACAGTATTTCAGGCATACAGTATGTCTAGGAGACAGTGTTTTAGAATACAGTACTGCAATCCATCATCATGCTTCTTTGAACTGTTCTTGGTATATCTACAGTATTTTCTTCCTTCATTGTCGAAATTTGCTTTCTCAAAATCACAAAATAGGTCAACATTATTAAATGCAAGAAATAGCCTCCTTAATCTTAGGAAGAACAAAATCTTCGATCTGCTACTAACGCACTACCTTATCTTCTCAATTTTTTTTCTTTGTTCTTCCTATCTCTATTACACACACATTTATTTTTTTCATGCTTCATCTCTTTCACATCGTCTTTCAAAATTCCTTTTCACACACCTGTCCCTAGCTTCCGGACTTTTCCCTTTGCCACTTCACCTGTGTCTGTACTTCCCACGCTAAAATTGCTAACTTAGACTAGAATCGCTGACAGTAGACGACACAAAACTCTATCGGGACAGGGAAGTACTTTTTCTAACACTGTGGAAAAGATAAAGATACTTAAATAACATGTAAAGTAGATTTTTAACTTTATTCTAACTTTAGGGCACTTGCTTAAAACGTAAAGGAAAAAGGGAAGTTATATACATGTAATTGAAATTCAACTATATAAATACTGTACATCTGTCTGTTAAATCACCCAGCTTTACGGAAACAAAAGTGATAACGAACCTAAGATAGAAATATACAACTAAAAATATTTGTTCACTGTTTCCCTACTGCATTTCCCTCTAATTACAACGCTTGGTTCACCCTAATCATGTCTACATAGTGACATAATTCTGTAGAAGAAAAGAAAGAATTTAGAATTATATACGTATATACGAAGAAAATTTTCAAAATATTTCTCCTATAAAAATGTTGAGAGAAACAACAGGAAAAATGTTTTCAAGAAGTGTTCAAACCAGCAAAACTTTTAGTTAAAGTTGACGTCAGAACAGAACACACCTTCACATAACAGTATCACAGTATTAACCACCGGGATAAGGCTTGTGAGAAATCGAAGGCGCTTCATCTAAAATAAAGTTTATGTGGACAGCTGGATGATGATATCAATCAATCTTGTTAACATTCACACTTGTGGACAAGAATGGGCTGTTGAATCACAGCTGATAAAGTGGGCATGAGCAAAGTGTACAGGAAGACGAAGCGACTCATATAGAGTAGAGACAGATCGCTGTGGTGATCCTAGCGATTCAGACGTCATGGGGAAGGAGGAGGGGCGGGGAGAAAACATGTTCTCTACACGATACTTGCTCTCAACATCCAATAGGAGGATAAACTCTACGCCTGTCGAACGCCACACTCTACTTCCTGGAAAGGGTGAGCTGTCCTGCTCGATCGCTTCCCTAGCTCGTGAGCGCGAGGGCCTCCTCCTCGGGGTTCAGGAGCAGGGCGAAGGGGTCGGCCTCCGGGAGGGCGGGGATGTCATCGAAGGCGTCGAGATTGTCTTCGAAGACGCAGGAGTCGTCGGAGAGGAGGTCGCTCAGGTCGCTGCTGCTTCCCGACGAGCCTCGACCCGCGGCGGAGGCGGAGCAGGCGGGGAGGGCCGCGGAAGGCGTCGGGAAGCTCTGCTGGAAGGCGCCGCGGCCCGGGCACTGCAGGACGGGGCCGCGCGAGGTCAGCGGCGAGAGCGCGGAGGCCTCGATGCTGAGGTCGTCGATCCCGAGGCCGTCGAAGAAGGAGATGTCGCCCGGGTGTCCGTCCTGCAGGATGTGCGACAGGGCGCGGATGTAGTTGACGGCGAGCTTGAGCGTGGTGATCTTGGTCATGGCGGCGGCGGCGCGGCGGCTGCAGATGTCGGGCAGCACGCGCCGGAGCGTCTCGAAGGCGTCGTTGATCTCCTTCATGCGGTGGCGCTCGCGGGCGTTCGCCGTCTTGCGCCGGTACTTGGACAGCGGCGGCGGCCGGATCCGGGGCGTCTTGCTGCTGGCGCCGGGGAGGTCGTCGCGGCCCTTCTCCAGCTGCAGTCTGCGGACGACGGTGCGCGGCCGCAGCCCGTACTTCTCCGCGATCCGGGAGGAGGATTTCCTCTGACTGCGACTGCTGCTGTTGTTGTTGTTGTTATTGTGGTTGTTGTCGTTGCATATGGATATTTTCGTTGCCTCACTTGCCGCCAGCCCCTCCATCTCTTTATCTTTGTCAATCATATTTTCGAGGAAACGGTTCGAAATGTGGCGCGGATCAGTACTTACGCCCGCGTTGAAATCCCCTCCGTTCCTTTCGCCCCAGAAGTCCAAAGTCACCAGTAACTACTTTCAAAAAACAGCCGAGGCGCAGAATAAATTACAAACAGGAACAGATTTTACCTTCTGATAAGAATGTTCCACACAGCGTGCTGATGAAAGTTTCACTCATCTTGTTAACTGGCGAGTTTTTATTACGCATGCAAATTACTAATGATCTCACTAACTTCTCTGGAACACTGACCACTGTCCCGCTTAGATTACTCTCTTGATACCGTTTCTGGTTTAGACAACTTCTTCCCGAGACTTTGATAGGGTCATCGTAACTTCATAATTATCTCAAAAGATATCAGAATGAGACAGATTGCAAAGATAACAGTCGTATTTTTTCCCGGACGCGAGTAATCTTTCTTTGGATAGAAATAAGACAAGCACAGTTCACTTCTCGGCCCTTGCAAGCTTCAAGCAAGTCCTGCTTTCCAGACGAGTTCAAAGCAAAAGAGATAACGTCAGGAGCTTTATCTGATGGCGTAACTCACATCTGTAATCTCGGGAGCTCATTTGTTTACAAATCTTTTGAAGTCACATCACATATATCATCACAATCGTGGTTCTCCGACGCAGCCGCGGCCTAGTTCCAGAGTCACTTCACGGCTCCTCACGAAAGTCACCTGTCGCTGCAAGGCTGGCGTCGGGTTCTGCCACACACACAGGCGCACACGACAGCTGTCTCGATCCGTCACGCGCTCACGTCCAGCAGGGTTTTGATCACAGAATAGATCGCAGCTGCTTTTGCTGCGTGTAAGAACTGCGCGAACATATGCTGACCGAGTGGAAGTTCCTCTTTTTCTGAGAATGCAGATATGTCATCAGTTGTACAACATCTTGTCTGGCTTGTTGGTCTCCTCGTCTGCCTCAGTTCGACGTCGAGGAAACCACGGCTGCGCTCCGGGCCTTTGGTCCAAGGATCTTGCTGCAGAGGGGGAAGAAACACGAACGTCAGTACCTTCAATTTAACGAAAGTATAAACATTTAAATTCGGTTGCGATAGGTATGGAATTTTGACAAACAACGAAGGTCACGGAAGATCATTAGATTCAACTCAACGAAAGTCACTCTCTGAGTACGAAGTCACAGTCCCACCTAGTAAGGCATGGCAGACGGAGGGGAGTCCTGTGATTGGCGTGAACGCTGGCCTGCGCGTCCTCTCCCATGGAGGGCAAAAGGTCCACTGAATCCCGCCCTCGCACTCAGCCTCTGACCAGTCGGACCCGGCGCGCGTGCCCGTCCCTCTGACGTCACAGGGAGAGGGTTCATGGCGGGTGCCCGGGTCAACACATCCATCACTCAGAGCCGACAGCAGGTGGAAATTGGCTAGATCTAAATCGCTCCGGATCAAAAAACGCGGGAAAATTAACTTACGGAAAGGGAGGGACATCCAGATCGAATCGCAAGAAAGACAGATTTTGCGAAATGCCCGAGCGAGGGACGGGTGGTGTCTCGCTGCGGGCGGGAAGGTCGGCCGATTCAGTCGGGTGTCGGGCGCCGCAGGGGGCGCGCCGCCCGCCCGCTTCTCGCCTTGTTACTCCGCTCTTAAAGCTTCTTAATCTCTTCATATCATATTCATGTCCTTCCGAAGTGCACACACATACACACACACAGTTGTGTACACACATGCCGACACACAAGCTCACACACACACACACACATACACACACACACACACACACACACACATACACACACACACACACACACACACACACACACACACACACACACACACACACACACACACATACACACACACACACAGACACATAAAATGAATATATAGAAACGCACATAGAAATATTCAAACACACAAAGTGGAGAAGGTAAGCTCTTGATTCCTCAGATGATATCGATTAAAAGGGCCTCTGACTAAATTGATATCATAAAACAGACATTCCAATCTCTCTCTCTCTCTCTCTCTCTCTCTCTCTCTATCTCTCTCTCTTCTCTCTCTCTCTCTCTCTCTCTCTCTCTCTCTCTCTCTCTCTCTCTCTCTCTCTCTCTCTCTCTCTCTCTCTCTCTCTCTCTCTCTCTCTCTCTCTCTCGCTCTCTCTCTCTCTCTCTCTCTCCTCTCTCTCTCTCTCTCTCTCTCTCTCTCTCTCTCTCTCTCTCTCTCTCGCTCGCTCTCTCTCTCTCTCTCTCTCTCTCTCTCTCTCTCTCTCTCTCTCTCTCTCTCTCTCACGCTCTCTTTTCCTCCTCTCTCTCTCTCTCTCTCTCTCTCTCTCTCTCTCTCTCTCTCTCTCTCTCTCTCTCTCTCTCTCTCTCTCTCTCTCTCTCCTCTCTCTCTCTCTCTCTCTCTCTCTCTCGCTCTCTCTCTCTCTCTCTCTCTCTCTCTCTCTCTCTCTCTCTCTCTCTCTCTCTCTCTCTCTCTCTCTCTCTCTCTCTCTCTCTCTCTCTCTCTCTCTCTCTCTCTCTCTCTCTCTCTCTCTCTCTCTCTCTCTCTCTCTCTCTCTCTCTCTCTCTCTCTCTCTCTCTCTCTCTCTCTCTCTCTCTCTCTCTCTCTCTCTCTCTCTCTCTCTCTCTCTCTCTCTCTCTCTCTCTCTCTCTCTCTCTCTCTCTCTCTCTCTCTCTCTCTCTCTCTCTCTCTCTCTCTCTCTCTCTCTCACGCTCTCTTCCTCTCTCTCTCTCTCTCTCTCTCTCTCTCTCTCTCTCTCTCTCTCTCTCTCTCGCTCTCTCTCTCTCTCTCTCTCACTCTCTCTCTCTCTTCTTCGCTCTCTCTCTCTCTCTCTCTCTCTCTCTCTCTCTCTCTCTCTCTCTCTCTCTCTCTCACGCTCTCTCTTCCTCCTCTCTCTCTCGCTCTCTCTCTCTGTCTCTCTCTCTCTCTCTCTCTCTCTCTCTCTCTCTCTCTCTCTCTCTCTCTCTCACTCACTCTCTCTCTCGCTCTCTCTCGCTCTCTCTCTCTCTCTCTCTCTCTCTCTCTCTCTCTCTCTCTCTCTCTCTCTCTCTCTCTCTCTCTCTCTCTCTCGCTCTCTCTCGCTCTCTCTCTCTCTCTCTCTCTCTCTCTCTCTCTCTCTCTCTCTCTCTCTCTCTCTCTCTCTCTCTCTCTCTCTCTCTCTCTCTCTCTCTCTCTCTCGCTCTCTCTCTCTCTCTCTCTCTCTCTCTCTCTCTCTCTCTCTCTCTCTCTCTTCTCTCGCTCTCTCTCTCTCTCTCTCTCTCTCTCTCTCACTCTCTCTCTCTCTTATTCGCTCTCTCTCTCTTTTCCTCCCCCCCCCCCTCTCTCTCTCCCTCCGCCCCCAGCAGGCCCGCCGACAGACTCCAGCGCCGGCAGGAAATCGCAGCCGAGCCCCGTCAGTCGCCGGATTGATAACATTTTTTGCTCTTATAAAAGACTTAATTTATTAATAGACTTTTAAATGCTTTGGATATTTTAACGTTTTAATCCCACGAGAAATTCACCGCTAATGACCTTAGCTGTTGACGCAGCAGATAATTTTTAATAATCAATCAATTAGTTTCCTCGTTGTTGGCAATCAACATGCAATGCGATTCTTGTTTTGGCGTTTATCTTTTATTTTCAAGGTTTTTTGTTTGTTCGTTCGTCTGTTTTTAACCACCTTTTCGTTTTTTTGTGTCTGTTTCTTTCTGAGATGTTGCTTTCGTAATTTGCCATTGTTGCTTTTATTATTATCACTTTGTTGCAAATAATATCAGCGTCATTATTATCTTCATTTTCATTATTATCACATCTGTTGTTGAAGAAAAATAAATGCAAACACACACGTATATGTACTTGTAAGCTTTTGTGGAGAGAAGAGAGCGAAATATAAGGGAGTAACTGATAGCAACGGCAGGGAAAGAGGGAGAAAAATTCGACAGAGAAGCTGACAGGAGGAGGTGGGGGGGGGGGGGGTGAAGGGTGATAAAGACAGGTAAGCAGATAGAAGAGAATAATAGATAATAATAAATGAAGAGAGAGAAAAAGAGAAAAATCTAGATAAAGAAACAATAACGAGAAGAAAGAAGGAAATGAAGATAAGAAAGAAAGAGGGAATTTCTTTAAATACGTCTTGTCTAAATGTCACTTCCTCCTCCTGACATTTTCTTCTCGTCACCTCACCGACCAGAGAAGACAGGAGGAAAACAGCATTTCATGTTCACACAAATATAGATGCACACACACACTCACTGACACACACACACACACACACACACACACACACACACACACACACACACACACACACACACACATACACTCACACTCACACTCACTCACTCACCCACTCACTCACTCACTCAATCATACACACACACACACACACACACACACACACACACACACGCACACACATAAATACACACCCACATACACTTGGAATTTTGTTTTTCTCTACTTTTTCCCCATATGTTCCCCTCCAAACGACTGGCTTCGTCCGGATGGCACACGCGAACGCTCCTGGCATGTCGATCGACGAAATGGTTGACAGGCATTCACTCTCAGGACAAGGGCAGGGTCGTTACATACGATGAAATTTTTGTTTATTTTTGTGCATGGGATCTGTGTTTGTTTTTCCTTTGATTTTGGCTTGGGTGCTGTTACGAAAAGGAAAAAGGATTGTTTGATACGGGGTTTTAGTGTATGTGGAGATGGGGAGGGAGAGGGAGAGAGATGGAGGGAGGGTGGATAGAGAGTGAGTGATGGAGAGGGAGAGGAAGAGTGTGTGTGTGAGACAGATAGATAGATAAATAGAGAGAGAGAGAGAGAGGAAGAGAGAGAGAGAGAGAGAGAGAGAGAGAGAGAGAGAGAGAGAGAGAGAGAGAGAGAGAGAGAGAGAGAGAGAGAGAGAGAGAGAGAGAGAGGCAGAAGCAGACAGACGGAGACAAACATATAGAAAAAGAATAAAAATAAGAAACAAAAGCTGGATACAAACAAGCAAACACAAAGATAAACTGCCCCTCCGTCTCTCCCAGAAAATAGAAAAAATAACAGGAAATAAAACACGACAGCTTTTCACGCCCTCCCTCTCATAAAAAACACAACTTCTCCCTCCCTCCCTCTCATAAAACAACAACAATAACAACAAAAACACCACAACTTTTCACTCCCTCTCAGGAAAAACAAACAAACCGATTTTTTTTTCACTCATTCTCAGATAAAAAGAGAAAATAAAACACTACAACTGTTCACTCGAGAGCTATATTCCCCCTCGTAGCGCCCCCTCCCCGGTGCCCCCGCGTCAGCAGGTGAGGCAGAAGGGCTGCATCCACGGCGTCCAAGCGACTTCGAAGAGGGACGTGAGCTGGGGCGTCGGGTAGTGCACGGTGCGGTGCCACTCCTCCAGGTACTTCTGCAGCTGCCCGACCACCTCTTTGTACCTGTGGGGGAGGAAGGGGGTGTCAGCTGGAGGCGGAAGGAAGCATTTGGTGTAAATAAGGCGGGATAACAGGTTGCGTAAGTATGTGGTGTAAGTATTGTCGCGTGAACAGGTGACATAAACAGGTGGTGTAAACAAGTGCAGTTAACAGGTGGTATAAACAGGTGGTGTAAAAATTTGGTGTAAATATGGTAGTATGAAACGGTAGCGTAAACAGCTGGCGTAAACAGGTGGCAGTGTAAACAAGTGACGTAAACAGCTGGCGTAAACAGATGGCACAGCTTGGAAGACGAAGCAGGAAAATACTAAACTTTCGAACGTGTTGCCTTGATCGTGGGAAGGCAACACTGTCGATCTTATTATTATTATTATTATTATTATTATTATTATCACTATTGTTATTATTATTATTATTACTATTATTATTATTATTATTATCATTACTATTACTGTGGTTTTGCTGTTGTTATTATTGTTATTGTGATCATTATTATCATTATTATTATTATTAATATTATTATTATTATTACTATTGTTATTATCATTATTGTTATTATTGTCATTATTGTTTTTTTCATTGGTATCATCATTACTATTATCATTGATATTATCATTATTATCATTATCATCATTATTATCATTATCATTATTATTATTATTATTATTATTATTATTATTATTATTATCATTGTTCTTCTTTTTCTTCTTGTTGTAATAATAATAATAATATTAGTAATAATAATAATAATATCGATAATAATAATAACAATAATAATAATAATGATAATAATAATAATAATAATCATAATAATGATAATAATAATAATAATAACAATGATAATAATAACAATAATAATAATAATA